TGATCCCATGGGATATAGATGTATCCATCATAACAGATCAACCTCTCTTCTCTTGTCATCTCATATTTGTGGTTCAGTGATAGGGCCACTCATTGATCCTATTTACTGTTGTCCCTTGTGACACCCTTGATCCATTCATAGATCTCCTTCTTGGTTGGTATTATTATCATCTGAAAATGTTCAGGTTTTAATAATACCACTCCTTCATTATCATTGCTTCTTTGGTCATGATCTGCTTGTTGGCTCAGTAGATCTGTCTTCTTATTTGCTGCATCAGCTTTATGATACAGTGTGTAGTTATACTTGGAAAGTTCTGTTACCCAATGTGCTTATCATCAGTTGAGTTTTTGAGGAAGTCAGAAATAGCAAAGATTTTAATAATCAGTCCAGATTTCAAAAGTTTGGACTACTCTGATCAAGTAGTGATGCCATTCTGCAAGGGCCAGCATGATCACTAGAAGTTCTTTATTATAAATCTCATAATTCTGTTTAGTGACTGTGAGTGCCTTAGAGAGAAAGGCTATGGGTTGCCACTTCCCATCTTGTTTCTGAGAGAGCATGGCTCCAATTACCCTTTTGCTCAAGTTGGCTTCTATCCTAAATCTTCCTTTTTATATCAGGATGGCCAGGATGACATCTTTAGCCAGTCATCATTTGAGGTCATCAAATGTAGCTTGTTGAGAGGGTTTTCAACTCCATGAGGCATTGCTGATTAACTGTGTCATTGGTCAGATGATTTTGCTGTAGTCTCATATGAACCAGTGATAAAAGTTAGTGAATCCTAAAAAATATTGTAACTTCTTCTTCTTTGTTGGCACCAGCCACTCTATTACCTCTGCCATCTTTATTGGATCTATCCAAATACTTCTCTCACTGATGATCACTCCAAGATACTCTGTCTCTAGCATCTCAAAGTCACATTTCTCTGTCTTGAGAAAAAGTTTGTACTTCCTCATCAGCTTAAGTACTTATCAAACCAGTCATTAATGCTCTTTATGATCCTTAGACATAATGAGGATGTCATTCAGATAGATCATCACCTTGCTAGTAGTGATGAGATCCTTGAATATGTCATTCATCATCCACTGAAAGATAGCAGGAGAGTTCATGAGATCAAAGAACATGACTGTTGGCTTGAATAGTCCACAATTAGTCCAGAAAGCTGCTTTTCACTCATTACCCTCCTTGATTCATATGTTGTTGTATCCCCATCTGATATCCAGTTTGGTGTAATATCACACCCCTTGCAGTTTATCCATGAGTTCTAAAATCAACAGAAAGGGATAATGATTTTTAATTATCATCTCATTTAGCTTTCAGTAGTCCTAGACTGATTGGAGTTTTCCATCCTTTTTCTTGATGAAGAAGAATGGAGAGGCCATGGGCGACTTGAAGAGTTGGATCCATCTGCTGGAGAGGTTTTCATCTAGAAACTCATTGAGTTCCTGCTGCTCCAGATTTTCAAGTAGATAGGTTTTGCAATCCAAATTAGCATTTGTGTTGGGAATTAATTTGATTGTGTAATCTCATAGTTTGGGTTCTGGCAGCTCATCAAAGCTTTCTTTACTAAATAGATCCTGATAATCTTGAGCCCATTCTGGTATCATTTCTTCAAACATCTTCTTCTCTTTTCCTGTGTTGGCCTTTGCAGCTAGGTCATTAGTGTGATGTACTGCATGAATGTGTATTGCCTACTACATGTCTACAGCAAGAATGATCTTGCCATCCTCCATCTCTTCATCCCATCAGTCCTCAGGATCTTCATTCAGCAGTTCAAAGGGAATTTTTCAGCATTGACATTGCATGAATGTGATGTAGCTGGTCTTCCAATTAATGAGTGAATTGTGTCAGATAAGCCAGTCATGACCAAGGAATATTTTCTTGGTTCTTAAGTCAGTGACAGCCAGATCAATCTGTTTTGAGTGATCACTGATGATGAGCTTGACAAACTTGGTGATCAAGCTGGCTTGATTCTTAGTTCCATCCACATTATATACTGAAATAGAAGTAGCAGTCATCTGAGTCAGTAGACTATACTTGTTGATAAAAGCATGATTTATTAAGCTTCCAGTACAGCCACTGTTGATTAGAGCTGTTACCACATATATGGAGCAAGACATGAGTGTTTTGATTTGGGCTTTAATAGTTAGATCCCATCCTGAGGTCTTTTGTCATTGGATATACTTTTGAGGTCTGTGAAGTTCATCAAGCCACTCTAAGGCTTGGCACTGCTTGACTTTCCTCATCCCTTCAATCATTTCATCAATCACTTCTTCTGCTCTGGTCTTTGTATCTAGTATTTGAGTACTGTCTTTGCTTCCTCCTCTGTTTTTATATCCTTGATGGCATGCCAAGTCCATTCAATGTCAAATGGTTTGAGCCATCCAGTGGGAGTCACTTCCTCTGTTTGATCCATAGATGATTGAGTCTTATCAGTTGGCAATTCATCAAGTCCTTCAGCTGATCCAGTGGAATTGCTCACTGGTCAGCTCTGTCTTTTACTTCCTCAATCTCTGTCTCTTTCCTGAGTTTTTCATCCTCCTTCTGTAACTCAATGATCTGCACTCAAATGTCTTCTTGCATTTGTTTCTTCTTCAGATGGTCCCTTGACAGATATCCTTTCTGGCCATAGTTAAAGCATTTTCTCTCCTTCTTTAATCAATCTATATCCATCAGCTTGCCCTGACTGGTATATGTAGTGCTAGTGCCTGTCTTTTGTATTCCATATGTGGGAGTACTAGTCAATGATGAGGCATTGGCTTTATTAGTACTGGTCAGATTGGTGAGCTTTGTGCTTGGTGGTTAATAGAGTTTATGATTGTCCTGAAGATTCATCTGCTCAGCCTTCTGATGCTGTTATTCCTTGTATATTTCTTTAATCTGCTCTTTTCACATGTCATATCCCTTTGGAATATTCATCCTGATGTCTAAGATCATTTTGATGTAGGAGAGAGGTGCCTCATGCTTGAGCATCTCAACCATCCTTCCATTATCAGTGATGTCATCTCAGATTCTGGCCAATTTGCCATGCCATTCTAGCTCATTGAAATATTCAGTGGTTGGCTTATCACCCATCATATACTCCTTCATCTTGCTCTTGTATACTTCTTGTACAGCAGGATCAGTGAACTTGTCCCAAAGGAGTGTTAAGTCCAAGTGACATATGACTGAAACACATGATAAATAGGTGCTGTATTGAGTTTGTACAGTCATGCCTAAGTTCACTAGATGTTTTATGTGGTGCTGTGTTCCAAGGCTATTGCAAGTTGGCTCAGGGTAAAATGATAGAAGAATAAACTTTAGCTTGAAGCTGGATATCTACAGCAAGAGCTATGCTACTTATATACTGTTTGTTCACCAAGATAAATATACTACTACTAATTGTGTCTGCTCAAGTCATTATGCCCTTTGTCCTTAGATATCATTACTATCTACAAAAGAGTTGTTGTCCATTATTGAGGAGTGTTATTGTGTTGGAAGACAATAATAGACTCAGCTTGTTGTGATGGCTTAAGCCTATCCCATGGTCCTAAGCACTGGTCTAAGCACTCTGACTAAGCATAAATAGGGGTTAATTGAGAAAGGAAAAGGAAAAATTATAATACCACAGTTGCAGTGTATTGAGCATAAAGACCTTGTGCTTTAGCTCTGAGTTTGTGTTTATAACTTTAGATGAGAGAACATATCTATTATTGATATCATTGAGAGATATTTGAGAACTGCACAAGATGCAAAAGCTTGCAAGAGACTTGAATTGCACTCTAGCCTGAGAATAAGAGAGCAGTGTCTGAAGGGCACTCTATTGAGTTTTTAAGGCATTTGTGATGCAAGATGCTACAGGCAGCAGAGATTCAAACTCTTTGGCTTGATCAGTGTTCACTTTTGGTTATTTCTGCAGATCAGCAGAGGTTCAAACCCTTTGAATCTGTTGGACATTGTTATATTGTGTTTTATGTCTCTGAATTGCATAGGTTTGAATCCTGTGGGTCTATGATCAGTTTGAAAACTTGTGGATAGAGATCTGAGCTCTTTCACACTTGTAGATGTGTTTGTGATTGGTTTCTGCTTAGAGCATTAAGCTTTGAATCATGCATTGTGTGTGTTAGAGATTTTGATTTGATCTGAGCTGTGCTTGGAATCTTTTGAGAGTTTTGTGGGAGTATTTGACATATTGTATTGAGCTACAGTATCTTTGCCTTGAGGCCTGCCAACATCTGTTGCCACCTCTTGTTTTGATAAAATAAAAAGCTTTGAGACTTAGAGAGATCTGAGACAGTTATACATATGCTATTGCTATTCACACACAGTGGAATCATTTGAGAAGACAATTGTATTTGCTATAGCTACTCTATCACATTATAATCCCCCCAATGAACTAAGAAGTGTTGTGTGTGTGTTGGTGTGGTTGTAATCAGTGGATAGCACTCTGCTGTATCCATTTTCATCTTGTATGTATGCAAAACCTCTTCAATGGCTTATTTTATTCAGATAATTTACTTTGTTCACAAGGCAGCAAATGCTACTCAATCCCAGTAGTATAAATATTATGTACATACTTACTGCTACCTCAGTCAATTGAGCTATAGGTCACAGACTGAAGTATGTATCACTTTATTCTCTTACATTTACAGTCAATTACTATTCTTGTAGCTATACTTTATTTAGATATGAGAATGTAGTCAATTCACTGCTGGGGCTGGTAGATTTTTAGCATGAGAAAAGGAGATCTCTACTTGCTCTAAAATATAACTAGAAATAGATACTTTTTCTTCTAATTTTATGGGATCTATTTTACTCATACAAAATGTCTAGAAAAGTTACAACATTTTTAGATCTCTTTTTTCCATGCTAAAAACCTACCAGCCTCAGCAGTGATTGAGCAACAGGCCACATACTGAGCTATACTTTATTTAGGTGTCAGTTTCTAAGAGGTTATGGGTTTATGCTCCATTAGAGCTTAAAGAAATAAACAACAAATATCCTTGTCTTACATTTATATCATGTCCTCCCCCAATGCTACCACTGCCACTGCAGCTACCATTCTGGTCCTTTCACTCTTTTCTATTGGTATATCTCTTGTGGACATCTGCTCTATGGACTTCCAGTGTCTGTCTGTTCTCTTGATCAGCATTCCAGCTAACACTTTCAGTTTGGATTACTCTAAACTTGACAAGAAAGAGAACAACTGGCACTTTCAGAGCCAGAATATTCTCAATTATCTTGCTCTCATGGATGGCATTGATGAACATCTAGCTGGCATAACCACATGCTCTAACCCATCAATGGAACCATATGCTATCCAGAACTGAAAAAAGAATGATCATGCAGCTCTTGCTTTTATCTTTCAACATTCTGTTGAGTCTAAGAAGTTATTCTTGGCTGGATTCACTGTTGCTGTTGATGTGTGAAAGGCTCTAAAAACTCATCATGAACAGGAGGGACCCATTGTGCAAATCAATCTCATTCAGAAGGCACTTATTATCTGCTATACTAGGACAGAACATATAGCCACAACCACAGCTTGTATTGAGCATCTAAATATGAGAATCTGGAACATGAATGATCCAATCTGAGATCTCTTTCTTTGCATGCCCTCTCTGGTGAAATAGCCTCAGCTCATACTGCCATTGTGCAGCTTATAAATTGCTCCACTAAAGCTTCTCTCATCACTTCTGCTGATATTAAGTGCAATCTCATAATACAGCAACAACTATTTGACTCTGATGATATGCATGCAAAGGATACTGCACTCACTGTCTCTGCTCAAAAGCCTTGCAACCAGTCTACCTGCATTAATCCCAAGTATTCTTCACCCAAAAGCTATACTATCCCTTACAGCATCATGAAAGAAGAAGGAATAGCTGGTAAAATCATTGAGAAGTCCTGTGCTGCATGAAAATGGGATCAGGATGGGAAAAAGTCTAGTCAAGAGAAACACTCTACACTCTCTATTCTAAAAGACAGTACTGGAAAAGTGTATATCTTCAACACAACTAACAGGTTATTTATTCCTTCTTCTACATCAACTAATGCCATCAAACCTGAATTCACCACTCTAGCCTCTAAGCATGCTACTCTGGAACTTCTTGACAATTTATCTAGTATGTCCACTGCTGAGACTGCAGAATACCAAGAATGGATGGCCATCATCAATAATATCTTGATCTCCATCAACTGGAACAACAATCATCAGAATATAGACATTGCATCAATCACAGCTGTACCACTGAATCAGCAGAAACAGACTATCATATCATTAAAAGAAATCTCATACTTTCTTGATACCAGCATAACCACTCATCTCACCTCTGAGCATAGCAACTTTCTTACTTTGACTGACATACCTCCAAGAGTGGTCAAAGACATTAGCAACTCTTCTATCTATGCCATTGGCATTAGTACTATCTGTATTCTGAATTTAAATAGAACCTTCTTGACTCTATAAAATGTCTTATACATTTTATCTGCATCAATATGACTCATGTTTATATCATTGCTCACTTGAGATTCAAAATTAGTAGCATATTTTAATGACAACATCTGTTGGCTTACCTTAAAAGCTACTGAAAAACTGTTGTGAGCAGAAAGCTTAGTCTGAACAGAAAGCTGTACAGCCTCATCCATGACATTTCTCTCAAAGCTGATCATGCTCTCATCACTATATCATCCATGTCTGATCTTGAAACTTGGCACAAACATCTGAGACACATTAACTATTAGACAATTGCAAAAATGATTCAGTCTGGTTCACTCCAAGGTATTCCCATCAATCTATCTAAGTTACCACCAAAGTGTGACTCATGTATTTTAGATAAATAGACAAAAATATAATACCAAAAATTTATCAGGAGAAGCACAAGGCACAAAGGAAACTTGAGATAGTCCAAGCTGATCTGATCAGGCCTCAGACAGTGGTATCATGGACTGGTATATAGTACATCATAGATATTGTGGATGACTACTCAAGCTGTGTATAGTCTATTTTTTGACAAAATAAAGATGATTCTTTTCTGGAATTACAAGCATGAGAGCATGCTAGGGAAAATGAAACCAGTCTGCATGTTGGAATCTATCATAAAAACAAGAGTGAACTGATGAGCTGAACTATGAGACTAGAAGATGGCTCTGTCAATTAATCATGATCAGAGCATAACTAAGGAAGAGAACCTGATCTACTATAACAATTAGATCTATTTGCCCTGAGATCATGCCCTACAAGAGGAGATCATTGCTCAGCCACATAGCCACATCACTGTGGGATATCTAGAGATTGCAAAGACTATGGAGCTCATACTGTGGAATTATTGATGGCTGAAGTTGAAGACAGATGTGAAGAAGTATGTAAAGACCTGTGAAACCTGCCAACACACCAAATTGAGCATCCAGGTGAAGACAGCCCTACTACACCTGAATGAGATGCCATATGCACTATAGACACATATCTCTGTAGACATAGTTACTGGATTACTGAAATGCCAAGGCTATGATACCATCATCATCATAGTCAACTGCTTTTCAAAGGTGATTATACCAGTCATATGCTCAATAGAGTTGTCATCAGAAGGGTGGGCAAAAATCCTGTGAGACAAGGTATACACCAGGTATGGGATGCTGCAAATGATAATTTTGGACTGCAGATCACAGTTTATCTTCAAATTTATGATGGATTTGTATCATCTGCTCTAGATCAAGAGCAATGCTTTGACTGCATACCACCTACAGATAGACAGACAGATGGAGTGAGTCAATTAGGAAGTTGAAAAATATCTTTGCATGTTCATCAATCATTGACAGAATGACTGGGCTGATTGGCTCTCACTCATTGCCTTCCAGCACAACAACTGCATACACTCCACTATAAGCAAAACTCCATTCTTCATCAACTATAGAAGAAACCCCCACATCACTAACTTATTCTGCCATACTGCTACAACTTCTGCTTTGACCATGTTCATAGACCAGATGGCTAAGATTTATGATGAAATGAAGTCTGCTCTCAAAAAGGTGGCTGTTGTGATGAAGTAGCAGTATGATATATTTCACTGTCACACTGTCCAATACAATGTTGGTGATTGCATATGGCTGGACATAACCAACCTTCACCTTCCACACTCAAAGAAGAAATTAGCCAACAAGCAAATCAGATCCTTTCCCATTACTAAAAAGATCAGCATCTCCACTGAGGAAGCATCAACAGCTTCATGGACTCTAGAGCTTAGTATGAAGGAGATTCATGAAACTGAAGATTGACCTGAGAATAAAAGGCATATGCATGAATGGTATCATCAACATTGTCACTAACAGCAGCAGTGATGGGTGATTTTGGAACCATGGAAGTTGATTTTTTTATGTGAGAAAGCTGAGGAGGCTTCACTGGAGTGGCAGGAATAACATGCAATGCCTTTTCTTTATATTTGAAGGATGACACATGAGAAGGAAGATGCAAGGCAGGCTTGGAAGAAACTGAAAGGACAACATAAGTGAGGTCAGCAAGTGGCTCTCTAGTCAGCAGATGATATGCATAAGAAGGGGGGGCTGCCTGAATATTCTGATCAGAATGAAGTGGCTTGACAGAGGAAATCTTTCACTGCTTTCAGACTTGACATTATAGCTCAAAGATTGAGATGAACCAGGGGTTTTGTTGTTCTCTACTTTGGAATTGGCAATAATATTGACATGCTCTCTCCTCATTCAGATATGTAAATTTGTGAAATTTGAGACTATATGGACTATCTGTCAGTCTACTATGCATGTAAACAGAGAATAGAGCTAGAGCACAAAGAAATATAGCCATTATAATGCTAAACTGAAGTAACAATGAGGAGAATGCATGGCCTAGTGATAGACTAATACCAGCATGGTTAGACTGCTCAGGAGATTCCAGCACTTGGCTTTAAATGTGCCAATACCATTACAAGAAGACATACTAAAAATAAAAAGAATACAATTGAAATATGATTGGCAATTCTGATCACATTGATCAAGAATGCACATTATTAATATACTGATGAGACATGCTTTAGAACAGAGAACTGAGACCCAAAGAAAGGTATCTGAATAACTGGATGCTAAACAGAGAAATAGAATAATGACAACAAAGTAATAAATAGAGAAATACTATCAAAAGGTGAATAGTGTGCTTAGTGCTCAGAGACTTGTGCACATACTTATAGCGCCTTAGCATGCATAACACTGCAAGAGACTCCACATCATACCAAGGTATAACACATACCCATTGGGTGGATTCATTGATGCATGTCAGATCAGAAGTGGCATATATTGTGAGTCAGATGGAATGTCTAAATGCTGAAAAAGAGAACATAGTCATTGTGGCTGACTCCAGATATGAGAGATAACCCCAGGGGCCTGAAACAGTTCTCCAGTGTCAGAATACTTCACTGGAGGAATAGAAAAGTGAGCAGACCTGGCTAGACCAGCTAACCAATGTTAGCTAGATAGAAAATAATGGACACAGCTCTGACCCAGGATAGAATAAGTGTGGTGACTGCAACATGCACATGAATGATATGCCAGAGACTCTAAGATAGAGTCCTGCACTTTGGAACTACTATATTTAGTGTGTCTTAGTAAGTACAGTAGTAGACTATTTAAGTACTGCATTGTAAGAGTAGCAGATAAGTTTCCAACCTCTCACAGTTACAGTGTATTAGGCATAGAAAGCCTTGCACTCTAGCTCTGGGTTTGTGTTTGTAACTTTAGGTGAAAGAATAGATCCATTATTGATATCATTAAGAGAAATTTGAGAACTGAGCAAGGCACAGAAGCTTGCAAGAAACTTGAGTTTGATTTGATAAGAGATTTTAGATTGTGCTCTAATCTGAGAATAAGAGAGTGGTGTCTGAAGGGCATCATCTTGAGTCTTTGAGGTATTTGTGACATACAGCACTATATGTGGCAGAGGTTCAAACTCTTTGGTCTGTCAGATAGTGTTTACTGTGTTTTGTGTCTCTGGATCACATAAGTTTGAATCCTGTGGGTCTATGATCAGTTTGAAAACTTGTGGACAGAGATCTGAGCTCTTTCACACTTGTGGATGTGTTTGTGATTGGTTTCTGCTTAGAGCATTGAGCTTTGAATCATGCATTGTGTGTGTTAGGGATTTTGATCTGATCTGAGCTGTGCTTGGAATCTTTTGAGAGTTTTGTGGGAGTATTTGACATATTGTATTGAGCTACAGTATCTTTGCCTTGAGGTCTGCCAACCTCTGTTGCCACCTCTTGTTTCAATAAAATGAAAAGCTTTGAGACTTAGAGACACCTAAGACTGTTGTATGCATACTATTACTATT